ATTATGGGTATTTTCATGTGACAAAAGCTAAACACCCAAGTAGAATAACATATAGGACTACATATTTGTGATTTACTTTGGTACACGTTTTGTGTACACGCATGTGTTTGTTTGGGTGGGGGTGTTATATTTTTGTCGTTAGGTAGGAGTACTTGTGAGTGGTGAGCTGATGATGCTATATGCAGTGTCCCTGTGTCAGCACGAGTGGACCACGCAGCTGTCACGAACATAGGAGTATGAGACTGAGATGCAGCAAAACCTTTTCTAGCATTACATGGTGAGCAACCAGTAAACCCAGCTTTTCTTTCTACTAGTGGAGATGTTACCACGCAGCGATGCACCCCGAAGGAGCAATGTTGAAGCTATAGGTTCGTTGTTTGCCCCTGCGCCGCTCTGAGCACTGTGTATGGCGCAGTGAATCATCACCGCTCTGCCCTAGCTCAGAATTGTTTCTCGTGTCAGATTGATTGTACTTGTACAGTTATAATCTCGTCCCTTTCCTGGCAACACCAAGTACAGCCAACACTGCTGGTCAATAGATTCTCCTATTGTCGTCGTTCATTCATAAAAACAACGAAGTCCTAAGACCTAGCTAGGCTACAACCTCTGATTATATATGGCTCTATCATATGACATGCGTATCCAAATGCACCTAACTTCAATAATGATGATCAGGCCTTTATATAGTATATTTATGCGGCTAAATTCGTCTGTCGCTTTTCGCATCAGCAAGTAATTAACAGTTCACAGAGATATATCGATCGCGTTGAAACACTGGTACTCTCTCCGTCCCAAAAAAAAGACAAACCCTGGTTTCCGTGTCCAACGTTTGACCGTCCGTCTTATTTGAAAAAAATATAAAAAAAATTAAAAAGACAAGTCACATATAAAATATTAATCATGTTTTATCATCTAACAACAATAAAAATACGAATTATAAAAAAATTTCATATAAGACGGACAGTCAAAGTTGGACACGGAAACCCAGGGTTTGCCTTTTTTTTTTGGGACGGAGGGAGTATCTTGCTAGAAAAAGTTCATGCATGTTGACGTCGAAAGATTGAGAGATCAGCGGGTAGAATCTTTCAGTCACCGTACTGTGACAGATTCATGATCTAAAATGATGCATGCACGATGCATGATGCAGGTCTGGGGATAATATTACGACCATATACTACTTCATACTGTTAGTATATATGAGTAGTGCATTTCAATTAACAGTATGAAGTTAAAATTCCCCGGAGAAGCCAATCATTTTCTGCTTAACGACGTCCCACCCTATGCAAACATACAATTCATATCTTGATGGGCAGTACTGCAGTGGGTACCCATGATTTTCACCTTAAAAACCGTGCCAATCACAGCATGCATGCAAATGGAGACCAGATCATTCATTAGGGCGGATGCATATGCATGCATCTCGTGTCAGATCGGTAGGTCGATCGATCCATATGCATCGATCGATCTGCTGCAGCCAGTAAGTATATATAGCCTGCCCCCACCGCATTGCATCATCCAGTCGGAGTACGTAGGCAGCAGCAGCCGATCTGTCTCCGATTGGCGCCGGCCGGCCGCCTGCCCGCCTCGGCCCGGCCCATGTCTGCTGCCTTGGTGTCGGAAGCAGAGCTTCGCTCGCGTCGTCGTCGTCGTCAGCTAGCAACTGATCAACAGTTGCGCTAGCTGCAACGTACGACGAGCGCGATGAGATGAGCAAACTCGCCGTACGTTACAGCTAGCGTCTCGTACTGCTCCGGCCAGCGCGCGGCCGGCCGGCTGCCCGGATCGGAGTACCACCAACTCTCGCCCACTCGCATTCCGATGCGGTTAAGGCTGCACATGCTAGCGCGCGCGCCCGGTACGTATAGTAGTACAGTACATGCTTACAAACAGCGGCAAGAACGAAGAGCAAAGAAATCTGAGAAAGATCAATGCGTCGTCGTCGTGGTGGTGCAGGGGAAGCACATGGATTGAATCAGTATATAGCCTTAGCTGCTGAGGCGAAGACGCGAGGTGAGATCGTGATCAGATCGGTGATGAGTGGGCGGCAGTAGCTGAACTACTGGCCGATCTGTGCATCTACATGGCTTCGCTCTGCTGGGCACAAGTACAGCTGCATGCTGCATGCGCGCGTCTTCTCTGGGCGCTGGTCCTGCATTCATGCATGCCCGGCAACCACTGCATGCGACGCGGTGGTGGTGGTGGTGGTGGTGGTACTGACTACTGGCTGCTGCTGTTGCCTTCTGCTGGAGCTGGACGCATATGTCATATGTGCATGCAGTACTACCACCGCTGCAGAGCAAACCAATTGGCATGATTCAGTGCCCCCTATTTAGATCTGTGGAGAGTCTCTTGATGCTGTGTGTAGTAGTACTGATCATCGCTGCATGCACCTTGCTGGCCAGCAGTGACCTGTAGCTTTCTATAGCTTCGGTGTGTGTATGATCCTATATATCGTGCGTCATGACATAGCAGTATATAGAAATAGTTAGCTGCATCTGGCAGCAGCATCAGCTTGATAGCTAGTATGCGGTGCGCGCAGGCCTATCGCCGATCTCATTGTTTGTCTCTGTCCTTGGCCTGCTTTCTTGCTTGCCTCTCCTCTCCCCCTCAAAATTGCATATTGTGCTTTTCTGTACATGGGACATCCATGCATAGAGCGCAGATCAGTTCTCTCTGCTCTTCTTTATTTGTAATGGAATGATAATTGAGGTGTTTTTCGCCGGAGAAATTAATCATCAATTCCGCATGCATGTTCCAGTTTCTGTCCCTAAGACCAAACTTTATTGCCAAACCAGTGACTTTGTATCTGAATGTTGTCTGTCCTGATGCGTTTTAATTATCTATGGCTATAGTATACACATCTGAAAGAACAAAATGGTTGCATAATAAGTAGTTGAGAGCATGCATGAATTGACGGAGATGATCGACTTCGGCTTTTTTTGCAGCATCTCTTTGAGCTTTGCTGGCTAGCTCAGTACCGGCTTCCGGCACAGCATGCATGCAGCCGTGCATATTGGAGTAAAAGCATACTATAGGAGTAAAATTAATAACGATCGAAGCACTGCAGACTATGTCAGGCTGCTGTGCCACCAAATGACGACAAGAACGTCGACCGAAATTGAATTTCGTAAAGTACGGGGGCCGTACGATGATCGATGTGCAATGCAATGCAATGATCTATTAGCTGTTCTGAAAATTCATGACGTGTGGCCGGTGGTTACATATGTACTTGATGAGATTAATTCAGGCTATTTAATCAAACTATGTACACGTACACCACGAGGAAATCCGTGGTTTTGTGATCTCAATTACGTACGCGTATAGATGGTCAGTAGATCCAGTAAATGTTTGTACTGTACTGTGTGTTCCTAGGCTATTAGCCCAGAATGTTTATGTATGACAGGCTGCATTTTCTCCCGATGTATTGATTAGACTTAGAAGTAGTACTAGCTAATGGAATTAGCAGCTGGTCGTACGTACATGTGTAAGTACATCTCATGTCTCGATTTATATGGCGCTGAATGATTATCATCTATAGTAGTTCATATTTCTTCATGACATTTGAGACCCAGAACTTTTTTTTATACTAGAAAAATGATGAGCTAATCACACAGTAGCGCATTCCATTTTTTATTTTACGGGTCCAATTTTCTGTCTCGGACCCTGTGAATACTCTTTATTGATTCTTTTTCCTCCTCTATCAATATAAAGTGGTAAAGCTTTTGCTTTTCCTTAAAAAAATTATTGTTCACTAATATGATGCTAGCTACTATACTTTTGTCCCATTAATTCGATCATCGCGCAGGGGTATAAACAAACGGAAAGTTATCCTCCGGGATTGTCTATTAGGGTTTAGCTAGGTAGAAAAATCAGACTGACTAAAATTCTATGGAGAGGTGGGTCAATACCGTAACGTAACTAGTCGCCAATCTATATATTGCACAGACTATTATATATACTGATACTACAAATAATAAAATTCTAAAGTTATGCTAAACATGTTGATTACCTTTTTGAATTATTGTAGCTACTTATATTAAAAGAACAAGTCACATATCAGTTTCAACTTACTAATTAATTTAATTTTGAACTTTAGTTAGAATATATTAACTTAATAAAATAATAAAATAGAGATTGCAATCTAGGTACCATATCACATATATTAATTACAAATTTTTAGATTATTAAATTAGAGCCATGCTATTTTCAATTGCACAATTTATTAAACATGTACTATGCATGGTCACGATAATTAATACGATGCATCAAATCAATGGCCAGAGTTTATGGTTAATATGAGAGCTTTCTTGAATTATCCAGTTAGTCCATGAGACCATAGGGAAATCATTACTAGCTAGTTAAAACAAATCATATGTGTGCTATGAAATTCTTTTCTATGTGCGCTTTTAATTTATGAAAATCAATTAATACACCCTCATGTCCGTACAATATTAATTGCACGAGGAACAATTGTATTTTGCATTTTAATTTCTTGTTATATATCAGCAGCCTTTTCCTTCACGTGCCAATCTGCCATCAGTAAATTATTATATTACTGATCATCTATAAGAGGAAGGCCAGAAAGTACATGAAATACACCTGGCTTTGGCAGATGGAGCACATGCTCAAAAGAGCCATCTCTGAACAAAGCAATTCAGATGGACGTATAATTGGGCCATGGGGTGGAGGAAAAGAAAGGTCATGTACACTATATACATACGGGCCCATGTACGACAGTGTTGGATCCACACATTTTCAATCTACTGCTGCGTGCTGGAACCGTTCTTCCACACACATGCATACATTTCTGTGGGTAAATTAATTATTCCTGTTTATTCAAGCAAATTAATTAATTTAATTTCCTGTTTATTCAAGCAAATTAATTAATGGACTAGTTTTTTCTTCTGTGTTTTCTTTGACTTTTCAAGCCAATATTGATATCCATAACAAGTGCATCTTTTGCCGTTTTGGAATTGATTTTTTTTAACTGATCTTTGCAATTCGAAGGATTTTCTTTTTCTTTGCCTGGTAAAAATAAAGTGGCAACACAAGCTAGGTAGCTAGCTAAACTTGGATCCGGACAAGGCAAAAAGAGTAGATTATTTAAGCTATGAGAATTAACATACCCTTTCTTGCGACTGCTAATCCACAAGAAGAAAACCTAATTAGACATGGATTACAAATGGAGGTCCAAGCTGACACCCTCCTTCTGCCCCAATTCACACCTACCTAGCATCTCCGGCGACGTCGACGAGCACGACGACAACGAAGGCGACGAGGACAGCAAGCTCATCGGCACCATCTCGTCCTTGCATGCCACCTCCCCCGCCGCCGGCGTGCCCGCCACCGTAGTAGCCAGCTTGTCAGCGCCCTGCCTGCCGGCCGTGCTGCCGAAATTCTCCGTCGGCGGCGGCACGCTCCACAGCCCGGCCTGCACGGGGCTACCGTTGATGGGCTGCGCCATGGAACCTGGCCCGGCGAAGGCGCCCGGGGCGGCGCTCGTCCACATCGGGTAGTGCGCCGGCGGTGGCGGCGGCGGCGGCGGCGGCGGGTGGTGGTCGAAGCGGCCGCCGATGTGGTGGTGGTAGTTGAAGAGGCCGTACATGTGCCCCGGCATGTAGCGGTGCATGGCGAGGGAGGCCTGGAGGTGAGCTCGCTTGGCGTGCTGCCGCTCCCTCTTGTGCGCGTTCTGGTGGCCGCCCAGCGCCTGCGACGTCGGGAAGTTGCGGCAGCAGTAGTGGCACTCGAACTTGCGCTCCGCCGCCGCCGTCGCGGCGCCGCCGTTCTTGGTGCCGCCGTCGCCGCCGTTGCTGCCCTCTGACGTGACCGTGCTGCCGTTGGCCGCGTCGGGGGAGCCTGCACCGGCCTCCGTGGGCCGCAGCTGCAGGTCGTTGGAGAATTCGCAGCCGAACAGCCGGATTGTGTCCCGCGCCTGCTGCTGCGGCGGCGGCGCCGGCCGGATGAACGGCAGCTGCGAGAACGAGTCGACGCTGCGCATGTCCTGCGGCTTCGCCATGGCCGTCTAACCAACCAACCAAGCTATCTGCTTCTACGTGAACCAAAACCAAGAATTAACCACCCAACTCGGGGCAATTCTTGCTAGCTGCTGCTATATCTTGCGTCTCCGCGCTGAAGAAATTGGCTACGAGTTGGTGTGGTTTTAAGGGGATATGGGAGTTGTAAGCTGGGGCGGAGGAGAGGGGGACGAAGAGGGGGACCATGCAAGAAGTAAGAGCAGAGGGGGACTACCAAGCTTAAAGCTCCCCCCTCTCTCATCACCAAGTACAAATGCAGCTGCAGTGGCAGTTGCTGTTGCTGCTTGTGCCCTCCCTGCCTAGCTAAGCTACTGCTAGTGCAAGCTATCGCCTCATCAGTCTCACACACAATGACACAAAACATTAACCCCGGCCCATTTCTTTCTTGGCAAATATGGGACTAGTACATATACGTACTCACACAAGTGCAGCTATAGCTAGACTGGTTAGGTATAGCTAGCTACAGAGAGAAATTAAAATCTGGTAGTGTTTATTTTCTTTCAAACTTCTAAAAATTCTAACACATCAGATGCTTAACACATGTATGGAGCATTAATGTGGACGAAAAAAACCAATTGCATACTTTACATGTAAATTGCGAGACGAATCTTTTAAGCCTAATTACGCGATGATTTGACAATGTGATGCTACAGTAAAATTTGCTAATGATGGATTAATTAGGCTTAATAAATTTATCTCGCAGTTTACATACGGAATTTGTAATTTATTTTATTATTAGTCTACGTTTAATACTTCAAATATATGTCCGTATACTTTAAAAAAGTTTAGCACACGAACTAAACACGGTCTCTCTGATGATTTTTTTTTTTGCCCTGTCCAGCTTTCATGCATCTGTAGCTATCAGTGGGCATCAAGTGGGGGGAGATGGGTAGTGTGACTCCGTCTATCCGTCGCTCTCTCCCTCCCCTCTGCTGCCTCTGGGATTGGCTGTAGCCGGGGGTTCTTTATGGGAGGTTGGCTTCTTTACAACATGAGAGACCGCAGGTGGTCCTCCTGGGGACGGCGACGTGCTCGATCGCATTCTGCTTGCTTGCTTGCTTGCTTGCAATATTGCTCTCTCCCTCCCTGTTCATGCTGCTGCTCCTGCTGCTGCAGCTGCATGATTACTGCATGCCGGCCGGCCGGTAGTGCAGCAGTCATGCATGCATCGTTTGCATGCGAGTTTTTATCTCTTTATAGCTTTGCGCGGTGGTACTGCTGCTACCATCGTTTGTAGATCGATCGATCGATGTTCTATGGATGGCATGGCATGGCAGCAAGCTGCTTCAATTCGTTCGTTTCTCTCCGTTTCTCCGCCTGTCGATCGATATGGTGGTATCTTTTTGACAGCGCGGTTATAATAATCGTGGGCGCGCGTACGTACGTGTTCGATCGATGGCGCGCGCTGCGTCGATAGCTGGGATCCACATGCATGCTTGATTGCTGGATCGAAAGCTAGCTAATTGAGATAGCCAGCTGAGTGCTGCAGTTTTGAGATCATGTCGATCTCTACATACACTCCATGGCTGCTACAGTAGCTTTTTTTTCCCCTCCTCTCTTTTTCTGCAGGCTTTTGTAGACCTTTTCTTTTTACGGAATTCCATGCATGCATTCAGCGATTTTTCGCCTGCTTGTTGTAGTAGTGATATGGAAAAAGGGTAATTTCATTGGAGTTGTTTCAGAGAGATACTACGTGAAAAGTTGTCAATGTCAGTAACTCACTCTCCTCCAGGACGTCTGGTTTCATATGGCTTCTGAATTAATGACCCCTATCTACCACAAATGGAATTGGCCGTAGTTGAGACTTGAGAGATATACTACTGTCGTTGTTGTCCATCTAGCTAGCTAGCTGTTCGAGTAGAAAACCAAACATCTCCTACACAGGTAGTATAGATCAGTCGATCCAGTCTCTCCAACTTGTGATGAACATTAATGCTCGATAGGACAAGAAAACATTTTCAAGCCTCATGGGCGCGTAAGGCCGTAGAGTGACCGTGTGCCAACCGCGATGCTATTTGAACTTGTGTTATCTCTTTAAGAGGTACTCGTCTGGATAAGTACATCGCCAACATCGAAACAGTGCACGCATGTGTCTCTCGACAAGTACATAATGATGACACCAATGAAATCTCCATCTTAATTTCATCTGTGGTACAGACATCGCATATGCATGTCTTTTTTTTCTTTTTTTAATTTCTTCATGTCCATGAATTAAGATTGTTTGTGTTACAATATTTCTACTGCCTAAATTAACGGCGGCTCCCAGGATAGAGGGACACATGGAAAAGCTGAGTGAAAACGCAAGCTCGACTGGGACTCATGATCTCAGTAACATTTTCTGACACTTACGTGTATGACAGATATCAATATCGACCAGAACGAGCTCATCCTAATCATAATGACCACTCAGAGATCCACGTTTATTTCAAGTTGAGAAATCGTTCCAAATGATCAAAATTCCTTACTACGATTTGGACAGTTTTTCACTGGTTTAATTAACCTGGCGCAAAAACGAAGAATAATCAAGGAAGGACCACCGTGTAGCTGTCAGTAGTATGAGAGCCATCTATCTGAAAACACGAAAATGGGAACGCTCAGAGAAAATAGGAGTAGAAACAAAGCGTTGATGCGACACGCAAAAGTAGCAACATTTATGTACATCGACGTGCATCTGGTCATCAGTACTCATATGCCCTGCTTGTTGCTGCCTTGCTTTTCTTTTTTTTCTTCTCTGCCCCTGTACTGGTACATGTCGTCGTACGAGTTAGCTAGCGGGCAACAGTTGTAGCCACAGCTTCGCCGACGGCGACTCCGAACCCCTGCAGGTGCAGGTGGGTGCACGCCGCTTTCACGGCGACGTCGCGGCCGCGCGCTCGCCACTCGACCTGCCGGTCGCGCCAGATCTCGCAGGCGTCGCCAAATATTCTCGACATGGACTTCCATTTGTGTGTTGTAGTAGTATCATCGATCCATCGATCGATTGTCTCACGCGTTTTTCACCTTTTGCCCCCTCTCCTTGTCCAAATTGACACCGTGTTCAGTTCCAAATATTTTCTTCAAACTTTCAACTTTTTTATCGCATCAAAATTTTCCTACGCACACAAACTTTCAATTTTTCCATCATATCGTTCCAATTTCAACAAAAACTTTTAATTTTAACGTGAACTAAACACACCGTGAATAAGCTTCTTCTTCTCCTTCTCATCAGGTTGCAGTAATTTATTGGCAGATCCAACTCCCCCGATCCATCCACCACACAGTTTTCCTCGTAAATGCCGTGGCCGTACGATAGATATATTGATGGTAGGCTCGAGCTAGCCGTCGATAAGACACAAACGCTTGTCAGGCTGGAAAGGATTTGACAGGGAAAAGGTACGGGTACTTGGTGCAAATAATTCCGTGCCGGTTAGGCTGCTGTTATTACCGTGGGCAAGTTTCTCACCCACGCACACACCGATCGACCGATGGATCCGTACACTTTTGCACGCGTGAGCCGTGTGGAAAAGTCGACTCGCAGCGGGCAGAGACGACGGTGCGGCCGCGGCGGCGGTAGCATCAGCAACGTGATGGTCGTCGTAACTGCCGGAAAAGGACGCCGCTTGCATGTTATTTTCGGTAGGAAGCGATCGAGATCAGCGCGAGACGAGAGCTAGCTAGCTGCAATTCTGCGGCTCTGCCCAACCCAACCATGCGAATTGCAGTGCATCATCACCGATCGCTCGCTCGCTGTCTCTCTCGCTCTCCTTTTCGCTTTCGCTGCTTCCAACGAGGGGCAAAGCACGCATATGGATGTGCAGGTACGGAGACGACTAGTATGCATGCTGGTATACGTGCTTTTCACCGCGCTAGCTAGCTAACTCTAGTTGCAGGACATGACAGCCTTACCACTGCTCGACCAGAGTACTACCTCCCCTCTCTCCCACAATAGTTGTCACTTTGACTTTTTTTTAATATTTAATCATTCGTTTTATTTGTAAAATTAGTGCAAATATAAAAAAAAATAAGTCACTTAAAGTACTTTTGATAATAAAACAAGTCATAAATAAAATAAATAATAATTTCAAATTTTTTTAATAAGACGAATGATCAAATTTTACAAACAAAAACTAAAAGCGACAAGTAATATGGGACGGAGGTAGTACTCTCTTCACATTTTGTTTTGGATTTTTGGTGGGAGGCTAGTTGGTTGGAGAACTACCTCATATCAGGTACTACATACCAAGGATATGGATATTCATCTCTTGAGATGATATCCCTCGTTACTTACATGTCACCTAAATAGTTATAAAGAATACGAAAACACGATAACATAGTGACGGAGCGTGGGGCTCCTCACCGGGAGACCGCGCAGGCCCCCCTTTGCCGGTTCGGCCGGGGGCCCTGGGTGAGATTCTAAGCTCCTAGTCTGTGTGTGGAAGGTTCGCGAGAGTGGAAACACACAAGACACGGGCGATGTATACAGGTTCGGGCCGCTGAGAAGCGTAATACCCTACTCCTGTGTTTTGGTGGATCTGTGTATGAAGAAGCTACAAAGTGCGAGCCAGCCCCCGATCGTTCTGGGATCGTTTTTCTCCTTTTCTCTTTTTTTCTAAGTGGGCAAGGTCCTCCTTTTATATCTCAAGGGGATACCACATGCACCATCTCTCCCTCTCTTTCTTTTGTGTGGGGACTCATCCTCTCTTCCCTCCAACTTGACTCCTCTTCATTAATGGACGGAGATTTGTATGGCTGCCGTCCGAATGACCTTCTGATGGGACGGCCCATACCTACCTCCACTTCCGTCGGAAGCAGGCGCGACGTGGGAACATGGCTGTCTGCTGACGACATGACCATTGTCAGACCGGTCACAAATCGGTCATTCTTGTCCACCACGTGTCAGTTTAACAATCTGCATGTTCGCCCTTCTTCATACAATATCTTGCCTGTAATGGTTAGGATGAAGCCTGGCATATATCTGACCGGGACCAACGTGCCATCTCCAGGAGCTAACACGCCGGCTCCGGCTAGGGACGAGTGCTTGGAGGCTCTCATCCTGACGGGATAGGGCGAGGCGTGCGTCAGACCGCCTGTCGCCATCTAACCCACGATCTGATCGGTCTGTGACTGGTCACTGACCGGATAAACAAGCGCGCTGCACTGCGTTACATGCGGCGTGACGCGCTCGTCCAAACCGCAATAAATGTGGTTAGGTGAGCCCCGCTATGCTCACCTACCCAATATACGCGGCGCAAAACCCACAAGGGGTCGGTGCGCCTCGGCCCTCGGGGCCGAGACGGGAGCGGTCCGACCCCTCGGGGAGACAAAGAGAAGGGCGGCCGTATCACCCTTGGGCCCGACCCCCCCCGAGGGGGTTAGGCCACGTGGGTGATCGTGTCTGCCTCAAGTCTCTAAGTCATGATACTCCC